AATACTTCTCTTAGCTCATTAGATAGACAATTTATTATATGGCTTAACAAATTTATTCACTATAATTTCACATCCCTACTTCTTAATTATGTAGTCTAGAGATTTTTCAACCATTCTAGCTAAGAATAGGTCAAGAGTAAATCCTAGCCCTAACTTCTACTCCCTTTCATTAAATGTATAAAATTGTACAAGTTGTATTCAATTATATATTTTGAAATAAAGGAATAGAGAAAAAACCTCTTTTTTAAAAAAAAAAAAAAAAAAGCCAGTTTATTATTGGTTAATTACCCTATAATAATTCCCATGTTTTTCCAAAAAATAAGAAAATACTCCATGCCAGAAGATCTGCTTTAGACCCCCATTTTGGTGAAATGATATAATAATATACATTACTTATAAACAAATAGAAAAAATTATCAAAAAATTAGTTAACTTTGTGGCCATAATTTTTCTTAATTTTATTATAAAACCACTTTTAAAATTTTATGAGAAGAACCTTCGAATACTAGAGAATTTGTAAACTCAGACTCGAAATTAAATCGGCAGCTTCTTTTTGCCAAATAAGTCAAAAAAGCAAAATTTACCTAAATTTTACTTATGAAATTTAGGTGCGTCACTCATTTGACTTATAATAAAAATTTTACACACATGATCTGCGTGACAAATCGTGTGCCTGGTATGTTTTGCGTCCGTAAGAACTGTCCGTAGATTATTTGTATATACAAGTCACTCTCATAATAGTACTCGTTATAGTGAAGACCAGTTTATATAAAAATCCTCTCGATATAGTAGCTCGATCACTTCACTATAACGAAAGTGACTTATATACTGTATATATGTAGTATATTATGGCCAATTCTAATTGATCAAATTGTGCTGTGTCTCAAAATTTTAATTTTTGAACTTGGCTATATTGACCCGACCGGGTTATGAGAATCGAAAAATTTTAATATAGCCTTATAAAACTTAAAATGATAAATTTTAAAAATAATTTACAGTAAGTTATATTATATATTTATCAGTTATATAAAGTACTTTCAATACGTAAAATTGATAAAAACGTAAATACCCTGGGTAAATTAAATTTATATAATTAATAACAAAAAAAGAACACATAATCACAAAATCAGTTAAAAAATTTTTTACAATAAAAAATATTATTAAACATTAATATTAATTAAGATGCTATATTTGAATTATCAACATTAGATTGATTTTGTCCATCGGTTGCAGTCATTCGATGCCAAACATAATCTTGAGCTATTGATTGAACAGCCAATTTAATAACAGAAACCATTTTAGCTTCTACCCATTCATTTTCTTCATATGGAACATCCAACCAACTAACAGGAAGTGCTTGTGAGAAGGTCTTAAAAGTAAGATTATGAGTTGGATCAGTCAAAACAATGACATAAAATAGGTATTGATCAGGATCAGAAATAGCATCAGATTTGTTTTGGAGAGAATAAGGATTTGCTTTAGTAGGCTGAATAGCCATGAAAACAGGACATATAGATTGCTGTTCTGCGTCTTTAATTTTTTCTTCCTCAATTTGTGGTGGCTTGTAATGTTTCTTGATAACTTGTTCATTATTAGCCTAAAATAAAGAAATTAAATTAGAAGGTGTTAAAATATCAGTTATGCAATAAAAATTTAAAAAATTATACCTTGGCAAGACCAACAGCTTCAATAAATCCCTCACAAACATTTAAATCTCTACGTGAATCATCTTCTGGATCACGTTTTATTTCATCACTTTTTCGGACTACGACATCCCCACCTTCTACTTGTTCCATGACTTTCATAAACGCTCTATATACGAGTGATTCTAATCCAACATAACCGACCATATCATGAGATAACCAAACTTCTACAACTTCATATTGTGAAATTGGGGGGACTACAGCATTAACTACCGTCGTAAGAGTACTCAGACTAAGGGTTTTGAGATCGGAACCTTTTAAAAAAAAATACACAAAAAAATAAATGAAAGATTCAAGAACGCTCCAAATCAACTATAATTACAAACCAATTTTTTCAATAGCTTCTTTATTTACAAAGCCACGAACTTTTTCCTCAAATTTTTTAGTTGTCTCATTAGTGCGTAC